AATGTCCCTTGACCTTCCCTGAAGCCACTACCTCCCTAAAAGGCAAATTCATTTAACAACAATTCCCAAGTGCACACATTAAACCTCTGTGTATCCACACAGTGTAAGGGCCAAGTTCTTCTGCAATAAAGTTCTCTTCACTTGCATCCACACAATACCACTTGACAAAGGCTGACTGGAAAACTGCTCAATTTTATTATGACATTTAAGAGTGCAGTATGAAATTTATTTTGTACTGGAATGAAAAACAAAATTAAATCTTTCTATCCTTTTAACTATTCAGCATGGTTGCCAAAGTTGTTTCTAGTGTCAAACCCTCTCATGAAAACAATGACACCAGAAAAGTTTTGGCTCCTGAGCTGTTCCATTTTACACCAACTTCTAAAATTACTTTTGTTCAATAGGAATGAAAACAAAACCTTTCTAACTTGTATTAAGAACAGAATTCTATTGACATGCACATATAGAGTGAGGTTTGGTTTTGATATCTTTACTTTTGAGAAAGTCTAATCTTGACCACAACCTTTGTTATGGTGTTGTGTCAAAATCAATACACTTACACAAAAATAGGAAAGCTTTGATTATATGTTTCCACAAGAAATAAAAAGGTTTTCTTAAAAACACTCCTGACTAATGTTATGTTTGAAAATGTTTAGTTGAGTGTCCCATATTCTGTACTGGGTGTGCTCTTCTGCCATTGGCAGACAACTCTTCTGAGCTTGTACTTGGGTGAAAATATTCCTTCCTGTAAGTGTTACAACTCTGACGTTAGAAGTCCCCTTTCACATCAAACTAAACCAAACATTTTTGATTTTTCTACCCTAGGAGTTTACTGTAATGAACACAAATAAATGCATACTCCATATCCCTAGTGCTGCCCTCCTTTTAAAAAATCTTTTCTTTATATATTTTTAGGCAAAATGTTGAGAATCTAAAAAAGGGACATAGACAATAGAACGATATAAGGTAATAGAAAGGTATAAGGTATTTAAGACCTACTGAAGAGAGGATAGGAAAGATATTTAGAAAGAACATTTATTTTTAACTTTTTAAAAAATGAAATTGAGGCCATTGGGGTGAGTAACAGAAGGTAGTTTTGAATAATTATACACATGCATACACATTTAAAAACATATATTTTAAATATATCTATTACCTAACTATAATTACATATAAAAATAATATATTTATACATATTACAATACACAAATATATATAACATTTCATTTTTATAGTAGGACCACCTACCCCAGGAAACACACACTCAGTTCCAATTTAAAGTGGACCTTTTCTCTACATCATAATGTGATCAGTGCTTCAAATAATATTATCAGCAGCAACCTGTACTTCATAATTACACTCTACACATTTCTGACAAAGCATAAATTCACAGGAATACTTGAAAACTGCTTTACATCCACTGCTTCCTGGCTAAATGTATTTCACTTTTTTCGACTTGGGCTTGTTAATTGTTATGTTCTATTATCCTACAGAAGTTCTTAATATATCTTGGTAATATATTTTGTTTTGGAAGTGACAGAAGAGGAATCTGTTTCATGTACACCCAGAAAACTCAAGGATTATTCTGTAACTGCTACAGTCTATTTCCCAAGGATTATGGCATCATAGTTTTAGGGGGAAAAACAACAATAACAATGAACCCAAAGGAAAAAAAAAAAACATAACATGTACAACATAAATAATTTTAAAACAATAAGATTCTTTTTTTAAGCAATTACCTTTTAGTCCTTTAAATGAGCTGTACAAAACAGGAGCTAATTAAGATTTAAATGCAAGCATTCAACTGAACTGGATTTTAATAGCAAAACTATGCATACTATGCCTTGCAAAAGAAGGATCTTTGTTTGCTTATTGAAACTGCACAATTACTTGATATCTCAGAATGCCTGGTGATAAGGTTTGGCTGTTATGTATCTTGACAGTAAGCCTGGAAATTCTCCTGCTTTTATCCATCCAAAGGTTTGAGGTTTCTGAGCTGACACTGCTTCCCTGTCAGCAAGGAGGTAAAATAAAGTGAGCTTTTGTATGAAAACAATCTGCCATGCAGATCTGGAACAGGAGAATCAAACAGGTCTTGTGTTCACCCAGTGATGACAAAAAGTAGAATGATTTGTAGTCAAAATTTTGTATTATCTTCTGTTTAAGTATTTACAGTTCCAGTATGTGATCTGAAATCTAATGTTTGCTTGTTTGCTCATCACATGTGAATATCAGAGATAATTCACATATACCAGGTGGGATTACAAGATCCTGGATAATGTAATTTAAAAGTTTTCACTATTTCAGATTCAATGAAGAAAGGAAAAAAATAAGAGACAATAGATGCCAGCAGATATAAGGATGAGTTTATTTTTAAACTTTATCAGAGGAAAAAAAAATCATTAATATGGCATTGCTCTGGTATTAAATTGAAAAAATAGAACACTGATCCCAGAAACCCACTGATTCAAAAGAAGAGAAAGACTGAGCATACAGACTAATCAGCATTAGAGGTGAGGGAATAATTTAACAAAAAGCATAAGAGAACTGTGTAGCCAACAAGCATTAATTCCTTTGCTTGCTAAAATGTAGAGATAATGAAAAGCTTTGAATGACTTTGGGACCCCCCCACCACCAAAAAGCCCAGAGCGAAGAAGGACCAACAGGATCCTGTTGGATCCACGGGTGATGTTATTTTCTACTTGAACTCTCTCTCTTCCCCCTCTCTCTTCTATTTCTAATTAATTGTTAAATAGAATCTGTACCATTGACTTTGGCATATGGCCTTGTTTGCACCTTAATTTGGGCAGAGGCATCTCTCAGTAATCATATCTTAACACTATAATATTTAATAGTGGCAAAATATCTTAATTACACATAATGTTATTACCCTTAATAGAAAACGGATCCAACAAACAGGTATATAAACAATAAAAAATACACCTGATAAAATACATATATTTTTAGTTGTAGGACTTGTTAGAAAAATTACACATGACAAATTATGAAATCTTTTGATATATTACAGGAAGCATAACATTTTCCCATTCATATATAAGTGAAAAAATTAATTCCTCAGCATCTTTATGAGAGAATCAGCCAATCATCATTCAATTAAGTGCTGGAATTAGTACAAAATTACCAAGCAGGACTCCTACTCCCATCAAGTTAGAAAAGGTGTTGGACATCTACTTCTCCCAGATTTGGAAATCTTTTAGCTACATCTTTATAAACCCTGCCCTGAGCCTCTTCACTTTGTACAATGAGAGTGATATGAGATACAAAACAATAAAATGATTGAGAGCCTGAAGGGGAATAACTTAGAGCAGAGAGCAGGAATTATTTTTAAATGATATATAATTAGCTTGCAATGTATCATGAGCCATTTGTTAAAGGTTCTTGACTTCTAGGCACTGCAGACTACTGCACTGAAATTTATTAAAACCCCTGAATTTCAGTAGATGCACATTTTAAGACCAATGGCATAGGTCTTAAAATACCAATAACAATCGCATTGCTATGAATGTTATTAGTCCCAAATTCACACACGTTATATGTTCAAAGAACATTGAATATTAGGAATCTCACAGTACCCCTAAAACTGAATATGGAAACTTGTGGAAATAGCAGCATGTTGAATCCTGCCACAGAGAACTGTATGTGGCAATGATAGAAATGCTCCTTTCAGAAGAACTTTTCACAACTCTGTGTTTTGTGCCAACCTTGTATTTGTTTATCTTTGCTAGTGGAAGCAGTGAAAGAAGTGAAACGTTTGCCTGCTCAAACTGCACATGGAATGTATGTGAATATTCAGGAGCAAACTCTGCCCAGAGAGGTGGGATCTTAATTCTGTGGCAACATGATCGATCTTTTAATTTGCTGCAGCCTGAACGGAAACTGAGTCCAAGCAAAAGGTCAGAACAGGCATTTTATATTCTGTGTTAAAAGAGAGAAGGAAAAAAATGTCTTTGAGGAGTAAAGCAAGTAGCTAATGAGACACAGCACTGACAGCTGGAATTTAATAAGTGTCCACTTCACAAGGAAAATTGCTCTTAATAATTAAATACAGGTATCATACAAAGCTTCTGCTTAGAGCAGAATCCTTCTGTCAAGTAGGACTGAAGAAGTTTTACATACCAGGTAATATAAGAGTGAGTTTGCCTGGGAGGATAGTCCTAAATGAAAAGGGTTAATTGCATAAAATTCACAGTCCTTTCAATGGTAAATAATTCCAAAGGGACTTGTTCGGATAGTAGCCTGGCATTACTGAAAAACAGACCGCAGCTAAAATGTACTGTTATAAAGTTCACCAAAACCTGAGACACATAAAAAGTTTATTAGTCATTGCAGAAATAAAACACAAACAAAGTCTTTTTAGAGGGATCCAAAATTCTTTATGCTCCAGGTCTGTAAAGACCATAAAACTCTACCTGAGAAAATTTTAAACAATCTTCTAATTAATCACAGGATTTTATCGCCTCTCACAAGCTGTAAGTAAAACATTAACAGGGTAGAAGGAAGTGCTCTTTGTACTAAGCATGATTCCAAACCCTGCTGGCATAGCCCACTAGATGAATCAGGTTACATCAAACTGAGATTATAAAGGGTACTAGCACACAGAACAGTGTTTTATATAGGGGACTGCATACCCATAAATAAAGGTTTAAGTTTCTAAATTATTGTGAGCCTCTGAGACAGAAGAGTCTGACAGATTTTCTGTAATTTGAGACCTCCCCATTAAAATATGATCATGTAACATATCCCCAAATAATGAAACTCTCATCACTTGAAAACGTGTTTTGATCATCACCTAATCAGCAGTCCAACAGAATATTGCTGGTATCACAAAAACAAAGCAGTTTAAATATCTACATGGTTGAATGTTTTTAATAGCTAGAGCCAACAAATTTGCATTTACTCAAAAATGTTTAACAAAACCACACAGGTCCATACACTAAGTGTAAAAGAGCACTGACTCTGCAATACCTGTTTTAACCTACCTCATAGTACATAGGCATATCCTTAGCCTTTTTTCCCTTTTGACCCCCAGATTCCGTGATCTGCAAGTAAATAAAGCATTCTAGTATGAGAAGATTTTTTGTTTATACAAAGTATTTTACTCATTATTCTCTTTTGCAAACACTACACTCACACTCCAAAACAGTGAGGTATCATCTAATTGCAACCCTGTGCCTTAGACAGGGAGTTTTCCTGATCAGCACCTTGAAGAAAAGTCTGTAACAAAACTTCATTTACAGGGAGCAGAGCAGCTTATACCACAAACTTTTCTTTTTCCATTTTTAACTCCTATGAATTAGAGCAATGAAGCCTGTAAGAAGAGAGTAAATCCTATGAGGAGTGGATGAAGGAGCTGAGGCTGTTTAATCTGGAGAAATCCATCTCTCAGGGGAGACTTTCTCACTTGCTACAAATCCCTGAAAGGAGTTTGCAGCAAGTTGGGGATCAGCATCATCTCTCAGGCAACAAGTGACAGGATGACAGAAAATGGCCTCAAGCTGTGCCAGGACAAGTTCATGCTGGACATCAAGAAATATTTTTTCACAGAAAAGGCTGTCAAGCTGCCCAAGGAGGTAGTAGAGTCATCATCCCTGGACGTGTTCAAGAGATGACTAGATGTGGCACTTCGTGCTGTGCTTTAGTTGATAAGGTGGTGTTCAAATGTTGCACTCCACAATCTTAAAAATATTTTGAAGTTTTAGAATTAACCTTAATGATTCTATGAATTAGTGTAATTTTTGAAACTTCCACAGAGTAGTTTATCAATACCACAGACCAAAGAAGGCAGGATCTAGAAGTGACATCTACAGTTTGGTTCATTATTAAAAGTTACTTTCTTGAAATACCTGTCTGTAAATATCTTCACACGTTACCACACTGAAGAGCTTGCGCAGTGGCACCTGCACAGCCAGAGCCAGGGCCTGGGTGTGGATTTCATCCTCAGTCTTGGTCCCAACAACAAAAGTGATGCTAGGCTTCCAGTCATCCTATATTCCAAAATAAAATATTTAAGGTATTAAAACTCATGCCAACAAAAGTCCTCTGCAGTCTCAAAACGTAATCTTGTAGAGATGGCTTTGTCACTTGAACACATATTAAACATCACTGTATTAATCACTGAAATTGCATGCAACTCGAAAAAGCCCGCTTTGTCCCAAATCTTTCTGCCATCAGGTGGCAGCATTATGCTACGGAAAACACAAATGCCCACTAAAAGCCTTGGATCTGTACACACGCAAATGATGTATTAGCATCTCACAAAGATGTAGTAACTTTAAAATGGCATTTGCAGATTTGACAGTTCAGGTAGCAAAAAAAGAAGTGAATTTTGAATATATGTATTATTGTGATTATTCGATGTAGAAAAAAATTAACAATTTTCAGCTCCCTCATCCTGTGAATTAGATAATGCCCTGATACTATTTTCTGTACATCGTAGCATTATTTTATGATGTTTTATGAAGGTGTATTTATACACAGTATGGCTCTTATATGGCTTCACTAAATATTCTGAATCAAAACAAAATTACTTAACAATGGCAAGTTGTACACTACAATAATAAGTTAAAAACACTAGCAGTTTTCAAACATCTGCAGTAGAATACATTTTATTGTAATGCAAAAAAAAAAATGTTTTCAGCACTGAAAATATGCAGAACAAGAGAAGACCGGAACACTTTCTTTAGTGATGTGCATTCACAAAAGCTTAAAAATTACGTAACTTAAGCAACTTTTATTGGTTACTGTCTTTGACATTCCTACTGGAATCCCTTTCACAGAGTGAGTCACTATCTCCAGCACATCTAGATCTCAATCTAGAGTATTCTTTATCATCATTAGTGGTGGCTGAACTAGGAGCATTTGTAATGGTTGTGAGGTACAGGAATCACCGTTTTTGTTTTTTTCCAATGCATGTCTGCATGTGTAAACTGCAAGGTTCCTACTGCAGCTGCATAAAGGTAAACATGGAAAGAGATTCAGTCAGATCAAGGCAGGCCCAGGACAGTCACACTGATCAGGACAAGGCTAAGCAGAGTCACAGTCCTGTGTGCATCACAGCAAGGAAAGATTTTAAGATTTAACACAGGGTGGTGAATTTAGGATATTGAATATTTTAATATATTTATATTATGTACAAAGTCCTTGTATGATAGGAACAAAACCTGAGCTGAGTTATGGTAAAGTGAGGAAAAGGACCATTCTAAGAAAAAGACTCAGATGGTAAGAGAAGCATTTTCTTCCAGTTTTATAGTACCTTTCTTCATTTGTTTCTTTTCTTAGCTGGTAAAAAGCCTACCCAATGTCTGCAATTTGAGTAACTGATGGCTTGGGATGGGAGAAAGCCACAGTTGACTTCAGTTTCAAAACAGTGCATGCTTGTATGGTGGGAAACAGTTTGTCAAACACTCAAGGTAACAAAGGATAACATCACATGAGTACGCCCCATTTTTCTAACCACAGAAGATTCAGAAAAACAAAAAAGATGTAAAGATCACCTGGGTCATTAAGTGAAACTGCAAGTAGCTACAGATCGGATCACTAACCCAAAAGGGTGTCTACATTTCCACATATCATGAACTTCCTTGATGGTTTATTGCAGCACAAGATAAACCTCAAGTTTTAAAAATTATGAAGTGCTAGAGAGATCAAGCATATCACTGATGCTCTAGGAGTGTTCAAACGTGGTGGAATTTATGAGTGTCCAGCTGCACTGGGGCAGCAGACACTGCTCATTGGAGAAGTGGCAGCAGTAGTGAGGACTGCACCAAGTGCACTGAAATTCTTTCTGCCTAAAGCTAGGTAGCTACTGGTGCACAGCACTTTGAAAGAGCTCTAGGTATTCTGTATCGTCAATGTATTGCAGTGAATCTGGATTAAAGCTATCACTGTACACCTGACAAGAACTGGACAGTAAAACTTCAGCATTCTTGGAACAGAAAGTATTTAGATGCCCATGCTTATGTGGAAAAGCATAATTTTCTAGGCTCTCAGAAGTGAGATTGAAATGCTCCCATGTGGCAGTATCCTGGTGTTCCCAGTGCTGACCAGCAGACATGGAATCTTTAGAATAACCAACTACCTGTGGTGTGAGCTAATGGAGTAACTGTTACCACTACACTGCCCACTTCAGCGAGGACCACCAAGAGAGGGAAACAAGGTCCAGTAAGTCTCTCAGAGAGATGCTGACAGCTCAAGAGCAGCAAGAATCAGGAATGTCAGGCTCTACTCAGGATCCTATGGTAAGCATGATTCAGCAGCAATACAGAGCTTACTCCCATAACTTCCTGCAGTTCTTCACATATACAAAAAAATATCTATCAGAGTTCTAAAGCCCTGCCTTATGCCTTCTTTAGTTCCTCCTTAAAACATGCTGATAGCTTGCTGCCCACCAATTAAACCTCCTTAGCACTGATTAATATCATTGCAACAACATCTGTGGAACCTGTCTTCTTATTATCCTCTCTCTTCTTATTTTTCCACCCCTTGGTAACAACTGTTTCTAGTTAATTTCTTCTTCCTTTTCCACTCTTTTTCCTGAGTTACACATTGTCTTAACATTTCCCCCACCTGTGACTTGCTCCCCAGCTCTTGTCCTCTGTCTCCTTGTTCAGCTAGTCTCCAGTTTCATTATCCAATCCCAGTTCAAGCTTTCTCCAGATTCCTCCAGATTTCCTCAGATTCCTTCTCCAAATTCTAATTCTCTAGCCCATATAATAATTCCCAGGCATTTTCAGAGTTATGGTTGAGCAATGAGACCCTCCTCTTTCACAAAAGTACTATAAGCCTTTCTAAGAAATGAGAATTTTCCTTGTTTCCACCATGGTGTCCTCCTTCTCAGCAGCCTGTGACAAAGCACCAAAGCAAAACATCAGGGTAGGTCCTGTTTGTGCAAAATGAGTATTTAAAAAGGACTAAACAGGACTTATGCAAATAGAATTATCCAACTCCAGATTTTTATTATGCAAGAAGAAATTATCATCAGTGGGCCACACCATCTCCCCACTGAAAATGCTCTGCTTCAAAGAAACAAGGTGATAAAGCTCCTCCACGGAACATCTATGAGAATATTTATACTATAGGCAGACCATTGGTTAATACATTAAAATAAAATAAATGGAATAAGCCTCTACAAGATAACTGAACTGGTAGTGAAAATTATAACCTTACTTAATTCTACAGAAGTATATTCAGATTGATACAAGGTATTTAATACAAAAAATTAATTATTATTAGAGACAGCCTGTAGCTCTCTATTGCTAAATGAAGAAAAGAAACAGCTTTTCTAAAAAAAAGTGCAATACCTCGGAATAGGATATGGAAGTAGCTAGTAAATATCTGAAGCAACTATACACATCTTCAAAGGCAATAATGATCTAGACTTCCCAAAGTCATTAACTACATGTCATCTATTTCTAGACTGACCGGTTTTAAAGCCCTTAAAGATCATTTTACAGAAAAGCTGCACACTGAGAACATGAATTGAACTCAATAGTCATTGTGCTGCATAAATACACAGCTTAAGGTGTTTAATTGATTAGACTATTTTCTGAGGTTAAAAATCGAATATTTTTGCAATACTGCCTTTATATTATCGATCCTGTAACAGTATCCTTAATGTTCAAGGCACTGAAAGGACAGAGGAGAAACAGACCCTGCTTCTACAGCTCACCACCTAAAATCACAACATAAAAATGTGAAGGAAAAGTAGTAAAATGTATATGGTTACTCTAAAAATATTTTCTCCCTCAATATACAACTGCTCCTCTACTTAGTTTTATTCTTTCAAATGTTATTGTAGCATGAAGGCTTGAGAAAGGATCTGAAAGAGGACAGATTAGTGACTCAAAGGCTACCTCAAATGACATTCCCAGCTTAATGAACAGGATAGAAAAACCATAAAAATAACTACTGGAAAATTACGGAAACAGTCGAGGGAGGTTGCCACTGAGAATTTAACATAAGCACTACAAAATGAACAACGAAGACCAAAATGCAGGGAGCAGATATCCCACAGAATCAACAATGCCAGTTCAAATGTGAATTAAAAACAAATTTAAGCTGGAAATGTGGTATTGGCAACTGAATATTGCTTAAGCAATCTGAAACAAACTCCAGTTAAGGGCAGACCAGATCACTTTAATTGGAAAACATCCAGTGACAACCATTGCTACAAATGACACTGTCCTGGTTTTAACACTCCTGGCCATGTCAAGAGTTGCAATGCACCAAAGTCTCTCAGTGTTAGAAATAACCATCTGTGTGGGAAATTTCTGTGTCCCTCAGCTGGAGAGGCTCCAAATCCACAAGATCAACCTAATTCTGGAAGCTCCGTGTAAACAGCAAATGGTTGTCCAAAATCCTTGCTTTCACAAAACACAGAAGGTGCCTCATCTTCCCATGATTTTCCTTTCAAGGCTCCATTGTGTTCTTCTGTAATGTGATTTTTCCCAGCTCTTAAAAACCAGCACACATAGCCTGTATATCTTCATCACAGCAGTACTGGAATATCATAGCTGTGTTGAGAAAATATCTAACTTAATTCACATTGAAGAAAAAAGCAGATGTAGCACACCATTTTTTTTCTTCTTTTTTATACATATCTTGTTTTCTCTGCTTCATTTCCTAAACACAAAAGGCCAGCTGTTCTAGGGAAGACAGTTGAACAAGTCAGGTATATGTTTATTTTTTCAGTACCAATTTCTAGATCTCTTTGGCCAAGAAAAGCATCAAGCAGCCATCTTACCCTCCTCCTATTTCCAGACAATCTGGGCATTGTAATTTTATTTTTGTGGTACTTACTGTTGTGGAGCTCACTGTTTTTTTGTTTAGTTGCTATTTTTGTTGTTTGTTTGGTTTTGTTTGTGTTTTTTGTTTTGGTGTTGTTTTTTTTGTTTTTNTTTTTCAGGTTGTCTGCTTGTTTTCTTTGACTGTTTGTCTTTTTTCCCCTTAGGACAACAACAAATAGGTTCATTTCATTACACCAGAATTTCAAATTTACCTGTAAGGGCTGAGAAGAATAATTTGAAAACTCAAACTCAAAACATCTAAGCGTCACACATATTAGTGATTTATGAACAATTAAGAGTACTAACAACTCTAGCTAGCACTCTTTACTTTCAACAATAGGGGAGCTTGTAAACCAGTAAATACAACTGCCATTACTCAGAAAGGTTGTTTATCAGTTTTGTAGCCTTAAGGTTCCATCACTGCTTGGAAATCTGCAGAGCCACTTTAATTGCTGATGACACACCCACATTTACAAATGGATTTTGTTCTTAAGAGCCTGAGCTTTTGCTGTACAACATGGGCAAGTGAGAGAATAGCAAAGCTCAAAAGAACTTAAATTTTTCTCTGAAGAGAAAGTAGTATGAATAGCAATCAAAAGTGGAGCCATTCTATTCAGAACATTTTTAGAAGTTTCACAAGATTTTAAGTTCTATTTTCAGGCCCTAAAATGCTAATGAAATAAGAGAAATCATACAGATGGAAAGTCAGCACAGAATATGGCTTCTCACTGCTATGCTTAGTTATACCAGTTAATAAGAACAAATAATAAACGACAGTTATTTCAATTAAGGGCTGTATTTGCCCAGAATTCACCATTCACTTAGCAATTATTGCCCTTTAGCTACTTAACACATGCAAAGTTTAAAACTACTTAAGAATCTTAATTTATATTTTGCAATTTAATTCTTCTGTAGTGAGCCCAATCAAAATAGATAATAAATAGCTGAAGGCAAATACAGTTTGCAACTCCATATTCTTCTGCATAGCACATTACAAACAAAAAAGATATACATAAACTATAATGTGAGGCTCTGGAAAATCCGTATTTCCTCTGTATGTGTTTTTAAGTTGCGTGTTTGCCAGTTTTCACAGTGCATTTAGTAAAAGCAATTATTTGGTTAGTAAATACCATTTAAATAATATTTTAGTTAGTATACCCGTTCATAAAATCTTAACAGCACTGGTAAAATGCTTTTCATAGATTGAACTAATAAAATAGTGTAAGTCATAAACACATTAAAATGTGAAATTTCACCACTTGGTCTATCTGGTACAATTTAAAACCAGTTGTAGCAAATTCCTTTTGCCTCCAATAAAGGGAAAGAATATTTTTAAAATTGATACAAGCAGATCTAAAAATTCTTTACATATGAATTATGAGGAGAGCCATTTATTTACTTGATAGGAGTTCCTGTCATCTCCCAAATAATTTCAGATTCATATGGTATTTCAAATACAATACTGAGGACGAATAAGAAATAAGTTTTGTGCACTATGTCTAGTGAGATTTAAAATTCAAGCTGTTCAACACTCTTTTACAGACTGCTTTCAGTTCCTGAATTTTATATATTTGAGTTTAAACTTTGTATGTTGCATGATTACTGGGGTAGGGCAAGTGGGGGGAGGGAAAGTGTGGTTAGAGTATTTGCAGAATGAGATTTGATTTTTAAAAATCATGTTTATCCTTTAATAAAAACCCCTATGTGATTAAGTAGTTAAGATATTCAATGCTCTCTGTGTTCAAGAGGAAGGAATTAAATTTGGCAGCAGAACTGTACTTGTGTCAAAGATTTGCTTTTACAGAGCATGTTTATTTACATTATGTACACCCACATTTGGCCACACTTGATGAATCTTGATTCATACATGCTCAGAAGAGATTTGCTGGCATTTGACAGTTTTGCACCGAGTGTGCTCTTGCCCATGACTGTAAGAGCTGCATAAGAACACTCCTGCAGTAAGAAATTTCAGTGGCTGCCCAGCTTCTCAGAAGCCTGAGCTCAAGCTGACCGCAGCAAGGGGACAGTTCTTCCCAAGTTCCCAAGGCTCTGTCTGTGAACAGCACAGCAGAGAAAGAGAAATTAGCTTAACTGGAACAGAAGGCAGTCAGACGATACCAGAATTATAGAAACATGGAATCTCAAGTCAACCCCCATGGGTACAGGAATTACTATAATCTTTAATTTGGTGATCACATACCTTTCCCTACAGAATTCTTGCCCCATTCAGTGAACATTCAGCATTTTTTCCATCTGCCTCAATGAGTGGTCCGGAATACTACCAACTTTGACATTTCCTAAATTTTGAGTATTTTATTTCCTACCTTTAAAAATACTTCAATATAATGGTTTGCATTTAAGAAATGTAATAAACTACATGTAGAGGCTGCAGAGCATACAAAGCACTTTGTTCAGTGAATTCACTACACAATATCCACAGCCACAATAAACACTACCATAAAAAAATATAATCACTAATTGGCACCTTGCTAGTAAGCACTGGAGGAAGACCAGGAACAGAGTAGGTGACGGAGACTGAACCTTCACCCTGTTCTTATGCTTCAGGGAGGTTTTCCAAGGGTAGGAACAAGATTCACAAGTAGGAAAAGATTCGAGCATCTTAGAACTCTACTGAAAAATCTGTGTTCTAGGGAAAAATGGGAAACAACAGCCTAAGCTATTCAAAAAGTGTTCTTGTTTGGCTAAGCTTGTATTATATGGTTACTACCAAATAAAAGTAAAAGCAAGTAAATATTTAAGAGATTTTTGGATGTCTGTGGCCTTTTCAAGAAAAGCAATTAGCCAGTTTAAAAGCCTCCCCTTGAATTAAAAGTTCCTCATATTTAACCAGTGTTGCTGCCATATTAAAAGAAAAAAACCCAACAAAACACAAACCCACATCAGCTAAAACAAAAAACTGCTTTTTTTTTCTTTCTTTTAAATAAGGCACGACAGGAATCCTGAAAACAAGGAAACCACGGAAGCAATTTGTCTCACTTGCAGAAGCTGTGCTAGATAAACACATGTGAGATAAATATTATTGTTTGCTAAACTACCACCCTATTTTAAAACCAAATTTTCTCTTGCAAGTCAAGATTTATGAGAATTACATTGCTTACACAGAACCTGGAAACCTAAATATGCCTTTAGATCCTCACACTCAGTAAAAGAAAAAAAAATAAAAAGGGAAAAAAGTGCCTTTTAGCTGCACACACTTGGGCAGGAAAATTACAGCCTCACATTTTCAACGCTACAGTTAATGCTGTGTCAGCACCTCCATCAAGCCTCGTTGTTCAGCAGCTTATAAAAAGTTCACTCCGAGCCGAAACCTGGCACCCAGAGCCCAGAAAGGAAAGTGCCGAGGGAGGAGGAGCAGAGAAACCCGCAAGGCCGCGCTGATGGCGGGGGGCAAGGGGGCAGGTCCCGCACACCGGGACCATTCCCGGCCCTCCCGGGGCCCCCGGAGCCCCCGGCCCGGGGGAGCACCGAGCCAACTCCAGCCCGCTCCCGCTGCCCCTCGGCTGCCTTCACCTCCTCGAGGCGGGCGGACACCAGCGCGGCCTCCCAGCTCGGCAGCCCGGGCAGCGGCGTCTCCAGGCCGGCCTTTGCGCGCCTGGAGCCCATGGCGCTGCGCCGGCCCCAGCCCCGCCGGCCCCACGCGTCGCCCCGGAGACGGCGGCGCGGGCGGGGCCCGAGCCCGGCCTGCGGCATCGCCCCGACGGGAACGCCCGCGCAGCCTCGGGAAGGGATGCCACCGCTGCCTGTAAATACCTAAAGGGGGTGTCAGAGGGTGGAGCCGGGCTCTGATCGCGGAGGCCGAGCCACAGGACAAGAGGCAGCGGGCAGAAACTGATGCCCGGGAAGTTGCACTTGAATGTGGGTGAGAGCTTTGCTGTGCGGGTGGCCGCGCACTGAAACAGGTTGTGCCGGGAGGTTGTGGAGTCTCACTCGCTGGAGATAGGCAAGAACCATCTGGATGTCCCTCTGTGCCATGTGGTTCTAGAAACTCTGCTTGAGTAGAGAGGTTGGACCAGATGATCCACTGTGCTTCTTTCTAACTTGATGGATTCTGTGCATTCTGTTGGCGCTTTTGGGTACTTTCACTGTCAATTTTGAGACAACAAGCAGCCCCCATCATGGCCACCCAAAGGAGAGGCCTCACTGAGGCTGTGTGGGGAGTGTTGGTGTGACACGCTTACACAGACACCAAGTGACACATCTCCAGGGCACCAAGTGACACATCTCCAGGGCGCCAAGTGACACATCTCATGCCCAGGACTCCATAGCAGCACCCGTGGCAGCTCTCGGCGGAGAGTGAAGGAGCCAGCTCGGGCACGGTGCCGGAGCGTGGCCCGAGCGGCGAGGTTGGGGGACGCAGATGTGGGCAGCCAGGCCTGCTCCCAGGCCCTAGTGGCTCTCCAAATACTACCATATGTTACAGCACTGGGACCAGAAGGGGAGAGGGAGGCACTGTTGGGAGAAAACAGGAGAGCTGCCAAGATAAAGAATTCATTACAGAGGAGTCATGTTGTGATCTCACACTGGAGACGAGTGAAATATTCTGTGTGATTTAACATTTGGTGAAAATACCCCAAACCACATGCTGCCCTTCCCCCACCCCCTTATACCGACCGGTGTTGCTCAGAGCCTCCAAATCTTTATTTTATTTTCATCAGAGCTTAAAACCCTGCTGTGTAGTGTGTTACTGCCTTAGTCAAGATTTCATTCTGGGATGATACTGACCTGCTGTATGTGCTGTATAAAACACCTTTCATTACACAGCGTTAGTGAAAGAGTAGGAATTTAGCTTCATAGGGAACATAACAGGCAAGTCTCTCATCTTTTTAGTTTGCATAAAGGTATCTTCCCAGTGTTTCTAAATAGTGATACAGTTGGTAACGTGGGAAAACTGCACAGTAGATTTGCCAACATCCATTAACATTTTCCCCCAACCCATCTCTTGGCTGGTGTCCATTTTTCTACTTTTGAGTTTTTCTTTTATTTTCCACAAAAACCAAAAATCATGCTTTGCTTGTTCAAAGAAACAGGCTGCATGACATTCCCACAATATCCTTTTTCTTCACTAAAGTCTTGGATGCACAGCCTGTGCCTGCTAAGTTGCACTGACAAGAGTATGGAAAAGAGAAATGGGGAAGGACCACCAGCTGATGTAGCAGAACAATAGAGAGGTTTGGGGTTGAATACACAGATAACGTTGCTAAATATCATAACTATGAACCACCCCTCAGATTTTTCATGGTTCAGTTTTCAGGAAATACATAAATTTCAAGAGGAGTGACAGGAGAGGGTTGTGCATCCAGATCTTGATGGTGTGGCTGGAGTGTGTGTTACCATGAATTTGGTGGGAAATGAAAACTGTTTAACTATGCCTATACCTGGATCTGTATGCTCAAATCACTGGAAGGTTAAAAACCAGAGAGACCAATGTTAGCCAACCAACAGCTCTGAGAACACACACAGTGGCTGGGAGAGCCATGAGCTGGACTGTTTATATCTACTGTGGGTTTGCTTGATGCATGAGGACTATTAGAAGGAAATGGTTTTGTTCTGCTGCTTACCACCTTAGAAAATACATCTTGATAACTTATTTATTATTGGCTGCCATGGCAGATAGCAAGTCCAACTGAAGTAGGACTGCTGATCACTAGGAGTTGATACCAGTTCATTTAAAATTACCTCCACCCCTCTCACAAACAAAGGAGAGGAAGAAATTGTATTTATGCTCTATTACAAAGGGTTGTAGTGTATAAAATGGGTTATCCATCAGCGAAGTCAGCTGAACACATGTCCTGTTTGGCTGATTGTCCCTGTCCATTCTGTTGTGCTGCCAAAGATGCTTGTAGGCCAAGCTGTGAACCAGATCACTGAAACCCCTTGGTTAAATCGTGAAACAGCCAGACAAATCAGAAATACTGGGGAAGCTGCAGCCTTTGTTTCCTCCCAGTGGTCTGGACTGCAAAACATCCAGCTACACATTTTGCAGCTGAGCCATCTGAAAAACTTCAGCTTCCTTCTGATAACTAAAATATGAAGCTGCTGCAATCTCAAGACTTGTATTAGCAAACCTGAATGTAATTCAGCTGTACTGATAAGCCTCTGGTTAGATTCCGAGAGACAGTATGCATTGATGTACCTTCACAGAAAACAGGAATGTGCAGATGTAAGCTGGACATTTCCAAGAAGTGAAATTTGGTTGAGGGCAAGAGTTAATGGGACTGTCTGTGATGACTTTGTGTGTGACAGGAAGATTTATGGTGAGATTTTCAGGGAGAGTGGCAACCTGAAAATGCCAAGATCAGCCTTTAATTTTTTGGCTTATTAAAAAACACCACTTGTGAATACATGTGTGGAGTAACTTAAGGCATGAATTTACAGTACACTTGCAATTCTGAATAATACTCTGTGTAAATAAAGTGTAGCTGACTTTTCCCTGGGAGACAGGTTAGCAAGCCTGTGTGTTGTGAGTTTATACAGCAGGGTAAGAAAGCATGCAGAGTTAATACTGGAGTACCAGTACTGTAGTGTACTGTGGACTAGCTAGACACAGTAACATGTCTGCATGCCCACACTTTTCATAGAAGTATAGAAAGAGTGTTTAAAAATGAGGTATACTCTTTACCTCCTTCAGAAAGAGAAGGAACATTGATTGCCTTTTCTTTTAGAGCAACATAAATAACATTTGCGCTTCCTTGTTCTTCAGTAAAGTGTGGGGAGTGGAAAGGCATTACTAGTTGTACATGTCATTTTTTTCTCTACTTGATATTTTTGAAAGACTATGGCTGACTAAAGAATCAGTAAAGATTTTGACTCTTATTAATTAAATCCTGGTTAATGAGAGGGGAATTAATTTTAATCCTGCTTGCTTTGTTTTAAAAATGTGCTTATTTTAAATTATTGAAATTTTTTGGAAAAATGATCTTTTCAGTAAGAACCATCACCTTCTCAGCTTTAGTTGGGAAGTAAGCAGAATCTCTTTGCTTGAGTCCTTAAAACAGTTAATTGCTTTATATTGCATTCATAAAATTTAAATGTTGCTGAAACAGGGAGGCTTCCTGAATTATGGCTTCAGAAAGTTGTTTCTGTTTTAGAAACAGGGCCAGAAAAGTTGTCTAGAACAGCTAACATGGGCCTCAGCACTGCTGCTAAGGAAACAGCCTTTCATCCTCCTTATGTATTTCTAAAAGAAGAAGAAAGATATTAAGAAAAAAGAAAAAAAGTACACTTCCTCCTCCTTAACCCCCCCACCCCACCCAAGAGAACACTGTTCAGTTCTTTTTCCCTTCAGAAAGGAAGAAGGGGAGGAACAAAAAACTCACTTTGCTTTCCTTTCCAGTTTCATAGCACTGCAGCATCTGGGCTGGGAACAGCTTTTTCTTGAAGTTTGCAACCCCCCAGGACACAAGTGTCTCACAAGTTACACAGATTTGACAGCTATAGCATGTGTTACCAAAGCCTTCCTGAACTCTTACATACCAAGCTGGATGTAGGAGGTCTTTGCCTACAGTTGATGCTCTGGCCACCAAATGATTCTTTATAATTTATTTCTTAGTCTCCAAAATTTGTTTATGTAATTTGCATAAAGCTTCCCACATGGGATGAATTGGCCTTGTGGATGTGGACCAAGTATCTGTTTTGGCTTTAGGATCTAGAGAGGTTATTTCTACATCAGTAAATTGTAAGTGAATGTGCCCTGAAAGGGGAAAGGTTAAGCCAAGTGTAAATATATTAACACATTCCCCTTCTGAATATGACATGGTGCTCTTATTTTTCTAGTGCCAAAGGTCACTAACTTCTTCATTAGACTGAGTTCTAATCATGAGACAATAAAACAACCTCTCCTTCTCAGACTGTAGTGGGTTTTCCTGGTAAAATAAGGGTTGCTAGATGTTTGCTGAGCTGTGAGAACTGGCAGGGATGGTTAGAGGGAAAGGGAACAGCTGGATTGTAAAGGCAATGCAATTCAGACAAGTCCATCCACCAGCTGGCAAGGCCTGCCCTCCAGTGCTTGGCCATTCTGTGCACGCTCTGGGCCTTACCTGTTTAAGCTGGTCCATCTAATAACACAGCCAACAGCAAAGCAAGTTGTAGATTTTATCCTCTCCCTCCAGCTCTTGCATTTAGTGGGTGCCTGGCCAGTCAGTGTTTTTGTTTATTCACTCAAATGTTTCCAGCCAAGCTGAGTTATAACTCTTTGCAGCCTCTGTTGTTTATTGCAAATATAACATACAGAACAGATCAAACTTTCTATATACAAATATGTTTACATTTAAGAGTATTCACCAACTTTGTTTTACTAGGAAAAAATCCTCAAAACTTGCAAGGCCCTGTATTTAATTTCGGAAAAGATGCTTTCTTAGTCTGCTCTCCCACATGCATGCATATACAAGGAGAATGTTTTTTTCCTCTCTGTAGCAAATGGCATAAGGATTCCTGGCAAAGCTCAAATTGAAATCCATTATCATCTGTCAGTAAAATGACTTCCAAATTCCAGCTGGATGCTGGATGGTGCAACAGGCTCTTTAAAGAAAGATTCTTGCATTTGGTATTGTAGTTTTACTGTCTCTAGGTAACTGAATTTTGGAAGTAGTTCAGTTCTATCAGCCAGCAAAA